CATACACAAAGCAATCAAATATATGCTCTAAACTTTAATAAAAGATTTCATTGGACTCTGTCAGGTAAAGGTATTAAAATGAAGTTTATCTACTTCATCTTGAATTTTGGATACCTTTCATATTCCTCAAAAAAAAAAAAAAAAAAAATCAAAAAGTGAAATTTTAGTTAACAGAAATTACTTTTGCCTACTAACTTATCTGCGTCAAATGTGATATTAAAGTATTCTAACCAGCACAGGTACATGCACCAGTGCAGCTTTGATTTTGCGATTCTAGTTAGCAGTCACATCCTAAAATTGTTTAAAGCAATTTATACGAATTTTGCATTTGTTAAAATGATTTATTTTATTGTTAATTGATATTAATTTATTTACTAATATATACATTTGTGGTATCTCTCTATTATATAAACATGCAGAGAGCAAATATCTTCATACCTGTATGAAGTTTTTCGAAGGTCATAGGTCATTACGTGACCTAATCACACAGCGCAGTAATATCTACATAAAAAGACTTACTCCACTAAGCAATATAGCATGTTTTTCATGCATAAAAATGTACAAAATACGCAAGTAAAATAATAATCATTTCATTTACAATGTAAACGAGTATTTAATACAGTTCTTGATCGATTTTACATAGAGAATGGAAAATTACGTGTTATAAGTTTCATCAGAGACATATAAAAACCATGTCTCTGGTTTCATGTCTAGCTGCATAGTCTCAACGTTTACCCTTATTTTTCTCGCAGACCTCTGAATGCTATATATTTTTTTTTCATTAAACTTTACTCACAATAAATTTGAAAATCTGTTGAAAAATATCAATGTAATGCAATCACGCCACAAACAGCTGACAAACACTGCACTTTGGAAGTTCGGTAGGCACACCTCTATCATCGAGATCTTTGTGACGTTGTCTTAACAATGTAAGCTGTCGCCAGTGTCTCCCAACATCATAAATTAATAAATATGCCTTACTGAAATCGTAGATTTTATGTTTTTGATCAAATTTTGTACTTGATTTCAAGTTATCTGGTCCGGACAAGTGTCTCCATCCATCCCTTTCCGACCGAAATTCCTCCAATTTTTTATTATCAAACATCGGACGTGTTTCTTGTGTTTTTTAACATCGAATATGGGTTCTCATGAATACAAAAATACCAGACACCAATATGCTCACTATAATTGATCACAAGTAGCCTTTCACAGAATATTCCCTTCAAAACAGAATCCTTTGCCAGATGAATTTGAAGCGTAACCGCTTTTCAAGCCGATTTACACCTAACGTAATTTGTCAAAATCTACGACGCACAGTTAGTGCTATATTTATATTCGATTACATTCGATTGTCCATCTCAAATGTATATATAAGTAATAAATAACAAGTTTAAAAACTTCAATGGGAATTGAAGTGGGTCGGTACGTGATCAAATCTTCTGAGAAGGCCTTCGGCCTTCACAGGATTTGATCACGTGACCGACCCACTTCAATTCCCATTGAAGTTTTTAAACTTGTCATTTATTTCTTAAATGACATTAATGGAGAAACTTTACACAACGTATCAACACCATTTACACGAATAACTGCTCGAGTCCTAGAAATCCAGATTTCTTAAAATGCAAAATCATTATGTAGCGATCTTGACGAGCAATAGTTACTAGAAGTCTTAACTGTAAAGTCAGCAACACTTCCCGTCACTTGAAACTTCCGGTACAACACATTGCCACTGTAATGGAGATGATGAAACTGTCTAGCAATCTGGGTTTCTTTCTTTTTACGTGAATTTATGCTCAAATTACTTCACGCCAAACTTAAAACTTTTCATATCGATAAAAATAGCTTTAGAAACTAAATATAATGCAAAAATTGACCTCTTTTTACGCTGCAATCAGTTTGTGCTGGGAACAAACGTCATGTTCTCCATTTCTTTTTTAAAAGCAAGAATGGTTTAAAAATAAACAAAACAATCAAACAAAGCAAAATTTACAGTTATATTACACGATCAAATTGTCATGGTTTAATATACCTGTCAACTGTTTCAAAAATTATTTGTGTTATATATAAATAGCTGAGTATTATCAACAGATGCCTTTTAAGCTCACCTCAGCTGAAAGCTCAAGTGAGCTTTTCTGATCACATTTTGTCTAGCATCCGCCCCTTCGTCTGTCTTTTCACATTTTCAAATTCGTCTCAAGAACCACAGGGCCAATTTTTATCAAACTTGCCATAAGAAATACCTTAATTAGTGATTAGTTGATGTTACAGGGATTGGCAACAACCTCGTTTAAAGTCAGCGTAAATTTTGTAAATTTTATGGTTTTATAATGACCCTTTTAGCAAATATATCCTATAATTGGGTTGTATTTTGCATGACTTGTTTCATACCAATTGATAGGCCTTTGTTTTTAATCTGAATTCGACTACGGAATATTCCGTATACCCGATAAATACATAGGGTTCACACCGGCTGTGACCGGTCAACAGGGTCAATTAATTCGCTTTCTTCTAGACACCTGATCCCACCTCTGGAATTTCTAGGGGTTTGTGTTTTATGCCCTCTTCAAAGAATTGTATTTTTTATAGATTTTTTTTTAGATCGATCACTTTTCGTTATCTTCACCTTTTTCCATAATTATTAAAGAGTCTATTGAACAACATCATTGTTTCTATCAAGGAGAATCAAAAAGTTTTCTGGAAAATTGAATAAATGTGTTTATCATTTTGTAAATTAAAGTCGTTAGCCATTGCCCCGTCACTCGTGTGTTTACCTAGGAATAACTGATTTTTTTTTTCAGAATGACCCATTGATTACAATTTTTTTGAATGCACATTTTATATTTAAAAAAAACATTGATAGTGAAAAAAAGAAAACTACATACAACATTCAATAATTATGATTTAACTTTTAATAAAGAGTGTCACAGAAACAAGCTTTGTATTTTTATTATTTATTTATTATTATTTTTTTGTATTTCAATACACTTATAATGATCAAGAAAAGTTATTTTTTCCATTTTTTCCCCCTTGACAGTCGTTGTTTCATATATATATATATATATATATATATATATATATATATATATATATATATATATATATATATATATATATATATATATATTCTTCGTAGTTTCTAATTCTGAATAATTATTTACATAAGGATTTTCACAAACAAAATTAGTACACATCTCTCAAATTTATTGTTGACCTTCACGGTAGCTCAGCGGTAGGACCGCTCGCTCCGTGATCAGAAGGTTCGAATCTCGGCCGCGACTGACCTAAGTTGATAAACAACAGGTAGCAACTGTTCCTTCGCCAAGCGCTAGGCACTTTGAAAGAAAGTTGCGGGTCCTTCGGATGAGACCTTAAAAACCTAGGCCCTGTGTCACGGCAGGCGTTGGCACGATAAAGAAACCTCACTACTCAATGGCCCTGAATGCCGAATAAAGGTCTAAATGTGAATCTCTTCACCAGTAAATGGTATTATTCTCGAATGGGACGTAAAACAACATACAATCAATCAGTCAGTCAAATTTCTTGTTAAAAATTTCTACTAAATTTTGACATAATATGACATTAAGTTCAAAAATGGTATGAGTTTGCGAACTTTCCGAATAAACCTCGTAAATGTAGCTGTAATGTATCCTATTTCTTAGCGGTACGTGTAATAAGCATGTAGCGATATAATGACCATTTTGAAAATGTAGCAGTAGTTTAAGGCAGCCATCATAGGGGACATGTGACATTTTGGTGTCCCTCATGGCAGTTTGCTGCGGTAAAGTCAATCCAATTTAAAAGAATATGAATTTGGTTGAAATATTTGTTTTTATTTTTCAGATTTGATGTAGGCCGGCAAAATTTAATATAAATTTTATCATTTTTTATTTTATCACCTGTTTGAACTATATACTATACTGGTATATCAAGTGAAAACAAACGTTCTAAAGTGTAAGTGTATTTTTACATGAAGTGACTTTCTAGTAGGAAAATAACATGTCAAACACCATGATCAAACAGAAATAGCATTGAAGGCAATGCAGATACCTCGAATTCCCAAAAGATATCGGACGTTGATCGTTAAGGTATGCTAAAACTTTGATTTTTTTTAAATATAATGTCCTTTCAAAACTGATTTCCAGGAACAAATTGTTGTTGTCTTAACAAAAGCTTTCTTCGATTTCTGCATCAAATTTATCGTTTGTAGTAAATGTTAAAACATAAAATTTCAAATGTGGTCCTTTCAAAATGATCTCCGAGAATACACCATTATTGTCTAGAAAATCATCGATTTCTGCGTCGATTGTTTATAATAACATAGTTTTAAAATATACAGTACTTGAAAAACCCCAGTGCACTTCATAAACATATAAATATTACAATAATAACCACAGGCATGTAACAGCAGGAGTAATGAGGTTTCGTACTTCCGATTTACACGGGGGGAATTTATGGCCTATAATATAGAATTACTTTTCTGTTCAAACACTTTCTTGTACATGAAGCTTAATTGCACCACATATATATTTATCATGAGATCAAGACTTCTTATCCTATCAGAGAGTTATTAGAGTCCTTCTAGACAATCTCTTTTTTATTGTTCTATATTTGCATTTGGATATCTACAATGAATTGTATATTGAAGAAAACATGCTGTTCACAATGTCATTTGTAAGAGCACAGATGGAAATGTTATACTCGCTGAAAACCCTGAATACATTCCTAGAAAAATATTTTATGTATTTAAAAATATTATCTTGAAAATCGATTCTTTCATAGCAGAAGTGTCTAAAGAGGTCCTTTTAACAAATAACACTCCTTCTCTAAATTCTTTTTTTTCTTTTGACGGGGTACTCCCAGGAAGTAAAAAAAAATATATACGACAACAAATTTGTAGATGTTGCACACCGGAAACTTCCAATTGTACATACAACAGGGATGTTTGAGCACTCGTCGTATCGCTACATAAAGGGTGTGCTTTCATGAATTGAAAGATTTGAAGGCCCCATGTGATAGTGTATCATTCAAGAGCAAGATAACACTCTTTAAAAGGAGAAATCAAAAGAGAATAGAATACTACTGGAAGGATGTGTGGAAGAAAAGCAAAAACCTCCGGAGGCAATCAAAAAAGCGAGACACAAGGTAAAAAATATATTGTTTTGAAAGAAAATCATAAAGATTCTTTTTCTTCAATGATCATTAATACAACTCATAATTTTATCATTAATGCTACTTTCACCAAGTTTTAAATCTTAAATAAAGGATCAACAATATAAGATTAAAACTTTTAATGATAGTGACCTGAATTGATGATTCATTGCTTACCACCGGATGACAATAACAATCAAGGTTTATGAACGCAAACCTGTAAATTAAATCTAATGAATAGGATCCAGTCTAAAAGGAAGCATTAATTAATATATTCATTATAATAATTGATAAGGAAAAATGGCAATGTAGAAAGTTGGACCTATTAATGTGATTACAGTAATATAATACTTTTGTTATATTTCCTTGATATAATAGTACTAGTTTATTAAAATGAAGATGGTTTTTGGTTTATTTTCTAATTACAATATATTTTTTAAAGAAACAGATAGCAAAGCTACAACCACGGCTTCCTCCGAAGTGGATTGCAGCGTCTACAATTTCAATGCAACTGGTAAAAATGCATGAAATTTGCACAGTGTAGCTTTTTTTCCAGTAAAAATACTTCTTTTTGAGATAATTGCTGTAAATTCTTCCAAGAATTCTGATGATTTTCTCTCGGTTTGGTCTTCATACCGTTATGTTTTTTTCCCATAACTGAACTCACGGAAATAAAGTTCAGAAATATGAAAAATCCCTCTAATGTAGATTCTGTTTCAGCGATTTTTAGCTTTTTTTTCTATGAAGCCACTGCTCAAAGTAATGATATATTGTACATACCTATTTACTGGCTATGAGGACAATAGCAAGTTTATTGTCCCCCAAGACAGTAACTATTTCACGCGGCGCAGCCGATGGAAATAGTTGCTGTCGAGGGGGACAATAAACTTGCAACTGTCCGAATAGTCTGTAAATAGTTGTCTTATTATACCGAAGCAGACTTTACTTCTGTCACGACACGATCCGGATAAAACCAAAAGAGTTCCGAGGTGGAACACGAGGGAAATGGAATATTGCCGTGAATAGTCCGATGACTATTTTACAATGGGCTAATAGCACAAAAAATATTCCACGGTAGGGGCTATTTCGAAAAAAAAAATGCAGGTTTATTCGTCATATCTCTATAATGAAAAAACAGAGGTATATTTATAATTGATACATGTAACTTATTCTGCTTATTCTGAAGTTCATTGGATATGGGTGATATGGGAATACATGTTCATGTAGATCCAATTGTTGACACAATGAAATATATTCAGCATTCGGATTAAGATGCTTTAATTTGCAAGAAATTCTCATTTTATCTAGAGTTTTAAGTATATTTGCTATCTAAAGAGGTGTTTCATTGAGAAAGTGATTTAGTCGTGACATATACAGTAAATAATGTACTCCTGCTATTTAATTGTTATTCAAAATGTTGAGCATTTTAAATACTAGAATGGTTTATTGGACCTTTACATGTATTACAACATAGAGATTGTTTTAAGTCATCATTTCCAGTTTGTTTTTTTTCTTTTCTTTTTAATGCACAGGATGTAACATTGAACTTGCTGGTGAATTGTTGATAATAATGGAGAATAACAGTTCAAAGAACGGTGTCAATCTTCTATGGAGGAACGGATTGTACTGTTTTTGTAAACAATTATATTCATATCTCAACGGAACCAACATAACAGCAGAAATTCTGACTGGCAGCAATAAATACAAAAACTGTTCCTCTATTGCAAACAGTCATGAAAGTGTCAATGAAACTTTTCTTCAAAAAGAATTAAAATCTTTGAATTCAAAATACCAACCTATAGATGGAGAAGCAGGCATGGCGTTGATTTTATCAGACACACCTGATATGTTCAATTCTTTAGGTGATTTGCCAGATGAGGAACAAGAACCTTTTATATATTTCGTAAGTGTTGGAAAAGGAACGAAAACCAGTCCTAATAATTCTTGTCATCGGCAGTATAGAGCTGTAAATGATACATCCGACATTTCAAATATTGGATTGGAATTGGAGAGGCATGCGTGTAATCGTATGTATAAATTAATGTTATCATATACCTTATCATCCCCAGACTCCCTGCCTAATTTTCTGTGCCTCCCCTAACTTCAATTCCTGGATCCGCGCTTGCGAATATCACAGTATCGTTTTTCATACACAATTTTTTTTTCCTTTCAAAAAACAAAACGTAATTATTTTGACTTTTAAATATTTTTTTTCTTTATTCATGACCTCGGTCAATAGTCTTCGATCTGTTGACTACGATCAATGAAGTGTTGACTTATTGTCCTATTTGCATTGGATATGCAAGAACGTTATTCATTTTACAAATATCAGAAAAGAAGTAAAAAAGATAATTTAAAAAAAAAATCCTTTTTTAAACTGGTGTATGATGATAAATTTATGCAGTATTACTGTTTATAAGTCCCAAGTCATCTTGTAAAGCAAATTTGAAAAAAAAAAAATGAAGCTGCATGTGTTTCTTACAGTTATCGACTGGGTTCTTGGACAACTGTTTCTTTGTGTGACACTTCAACAGATCTGTTCCTGACTTTAATAAAGATCTGGCTTCGTGTTAAACAAAAGAGAGACTGAGGGCTAGGAAATAGCTGTGTAATATTATACCGACCTGTTCAAAAATAGTTTAAGACAAATATTCTAAGTAGATATAATTTTAAATTTCCGTTTTGGAAATTGTATGGATACACTATGTTTTTAAGATATTTTATGATAAGGTTCTTATACATATCAATAGTTTCTGTCTTAAATCCAGAATTATTTGCTTTTTACAGCTTTGGGCTATATGAAGAATAATAGCTGTCTAAGATCAACCTCGCACACACCTGCGATACCTACGACAGCCTCTCAAGGTATATCCATACGATTATTGATGTTTTAAAAGATTTTCTGGTCGAAGCATGGTTAAATGTTTATTTACTGACATCATGTCAGCGCATATGGTACAATATACTCTTTTATTATCAAAAAGATTACTAATGATTAAAGACAAATACATATAACGGCAAACGCAATCAGTAAAAATAAATATTGAACTGTGGCAAAAGATCGAGAAACATATAGTCACTGAAATATTTACCACAACTTGAATGTTGCCATTTATTAACATTAATCTAATATTGAAAAGGGGAAAAATAAAACATTAATTTAATATTGAAGAGGGGAAAATAAAACTTCTATGTATTTGGGTGGTGAAGTGCCATATTCAAGTAGAATGTATCTGCAAGCTTTTAAGTCACTTTTAACACGTCATGTAATATTTGTTCAAGTACCTACATAATCATAATAATTGATAATCATAATAATATAAATACATAATAACTAAAATGATTTTTTCATCTAATCTTCAGTTAAAATGCCTGTTGTCGTCGTTAGTGTTATTGGGGCCCTGATGCTGGCTGTAGTTATCGTTCTTTGCCTCATTTTTGCACCAAAATGCAGAAGGAAAGGAAAATCAAGAAAGGACACTTTTGTGGAGTTTTCGGCTGTAGACAGCGGGGTAATATTTCAGACAGTTTCTCTTTTTTCATTTGATTTGATGAAATAAGTAATGTCAATTATGCAGCAAGGCAGTTTTAATTATCAACGATATTGGATAATTTGAAGATTTGATGATTTAAAATTATTATTGTTATTTTTTTAATTTATTTATTTTTGCAAACAAGCATTCTATGCTGCAAAAGACTGATTTTTAATAGTATAAAATAACATACACTATATAAAACGGATTACTTTTTTGTAATAGTTTGGAGGATTAACTGTGTATTCGGAAGCAAAACCGTTTCCACAATCTTCTTCAAGAGATTCTCAGAATATCTACAATGCCCTTTGGGAAAAGGAGAAGATTAAGAAAAACAAAGAGAATGATGAAAATTATCATGATCTAGACATGAACTTTGTTGAAGGTAACGATGATACGTCTCTTTATGACCACATGAAGAAAGAGGAAGACTTAGATGACGTATTTGAAGCACCTAGCTAGGAAATCGCCTTGCAAATGATTGCAAGAATTTTATAAAAACCTACTTTATACAAACGAAATTATCTTACTGTTGGATGTGATTATATATATAAAAAAAAATAATTTATACGTTAGATGTATTGGCTGTCTGTATATTTGTGGCACATGAAGCTGCTTGATTTCATACATTCTTGTTCTCATTTGTTCAGATTTCAATGCACTATGCAGACAAAATACTATTATCAAAGAAATTTTGCCATGATGGTGTTTTATTATTCACATATTTATACCTCCATCGTCTTAATCGCATTCGAAAAAAAGAACATATTTACATTTTCATAACTTGTTAAGATACTGTGGGCAAATTCAAAGTATTGAAAGCATATGGGCGGAAAGGGAAATATATGAAAAATTACTCAGTATGCAGTATGCGTTTTTCTAAGCTAAAGCTTCTTAACTTTTTTAAATCAACATCTAAATGAACTGGTTATGAGTATGATGGGTTTCTTCACCGTTGTTTTAAAGCGATCATTTTACGTATACCATTAAACGAGGCATTTATTTGTGTCAGTATTTTTCTGCAATCGAATCACGTTTTTATTTAAAGTAAACTCTGATCGTTTCGACATACACTTAACAAAACTTCTAAGTGTTCACTCTAATAAAAGTATTTATTTAAAAACTACAAGATAGAATGGTATGATATTTTCAAATTATTATACCAATGAGTCTTCTCAACTATTGTTGAAAGAAAATCAATTATCACCGATGAAAACCAATGAACCGTGACGAAGCGTAAAAACAATAAATCTGTACTTTGCGGCAAGTGTTTTGTGAGATCAGCATCTTTTTGTGACCATTTTCAATTTTTGAAAACTGGTTTAACTAAAAATCACAAAACATTGGCAAAATGACCATTGAGAAAGGAGGGAGAGCCGTTGGAATGTTGTTATCCGGATCATCCTTGCACCATGTTTTACTCACTTTTATTTTAGTGTTTATTTGTCCTTGATATTACTTTTAAAAATTAACAACAAGTATAAAAACCCATTTAAACACATTTTTCTATAAGTTCTGCGTCATTTTCATCACCAGCTTGTCACAATTTGAAAGTTTTGGACAAAATTTCATCAAACCGGAAGTGATCTGGATCTTCGTCTGAGGTCTAAGTTTCGCATCACAACTAGGTTAATAGTTTGTTACATTGTCCTGAAACAATTTTAGAAACATTAAAACAAACGACTTAAATGGTAAGAAAATGATAAGAAATTGGTGCTGGTGGCAGTCTAATATCATCTCAATCAGTCTGAATCATCCTTAAAGAGGTACACTTACGTGCGAAACGCCCAAGAATATTGACCAAAAGGTATCTGTGATGATGCACTGTCAAATTCCCGGATCTGAATCATATTGAATACATTTGGGATTTTTGTAAGGAATGTCAAGGCACCCCCCCCCCCCTCCACACAATTTCAACGGTTTAGAAAGATCCATGCAGTAGGTGTGGCAGCAGATGGGTCAATATCCTATTCAGGGGTACATGGTATCCATGAGAAAAGAATATGCCTTGCAGTAATTTAAGCGAGTGGTGGTCTTATTCCTTAGAGATTGTTTTATGCGAATTTTCATTTTGAGGGTACATCATGTCCTTGACACTTTGCTTAAAATTCTGACGAGATACTTACACGAAATTTACGCAACATCGAACTGAAATATGCATCATTAACCATGAATTAAAGAAATTATTTATTGTATGCATTTGTTTTTCAAAACTTAAAAAATGTTAGGTGAACACTTAGAAGTTTGGTTCAGTGTATTGAGTAATGCAGTGTTAAAAAAAGACAGGATGATAACTAGGAAATGTAATGAATGGTGAGAATCTAATCTGTGTTACCGTATTTAAGTTGCACTGTATCTTTTTCTTACAATCTGATCAAAAACGTATTCTCATTTAACCACGTGTATTTTGGTTGATATTTTTAGATACAAAAGCAACACACTTTCCTTCCTGGTAATTAAAAAATATTTCCTTATGGAGATATAATTTATTTGTTAATATTCTAGAAATTATTATCTATAGAAAAACCGTGAAGGAAATGTATGTCAACTGGAAAATTATGTAAACCAATCTAATTGTATTTCTTTTTATTGTTATGTTAAACATACATTGTATATTGTAAATGCATGGCCATTTAAACGTTTTCAAAGGTTTTAAAAATGATTGCAACTTTTATGTCATTTTTTCATGTATGTCGTTTGCTTTTATAAGATAGCAACGGTATTTTTTTTTAATAAATAGCACACCACAATATCTTTTAATAAATATCACACCACAATAATTGTACGGTAAAAGGTTAACAATAATCCAACATGAGGAAAGCTTGATATAGGACTTTACAATGCTAAAAGTATTGTAGGTCAGGGCCGTGACAAAATAATACTCCTTGTTATTACAGTTAGTGCACTATTTTAAATACTGCATCTACTCATTTTCACACCCAGTAAGTTAACAAAGGGATAAAATAGATTGCCTTAACTAAAGTGACTGGGACAAGAGATCTAAAAGAAAAGTTATAATTTTGAACCCTTGATATTTTCAGATTGAAAAGGGACAATGAAATCAATTTTTTTTATACACTGATTGACTGATTGATTGTTGTTTAACATCCAGTTGGTTAATTTTTCACTCATACAGAGGCTTCACTATATACCGGTGAAGGGCTTCAAATTTACACCTATACTCGGCACTCAGGGCAATTGAACAGCGAGGGTGTTTTATCGTGCCAACGCCTACCGTAACATGGGACCTCAGATTTAAGGTCTCATCCGAAAGACTCTTGACTTTTTCTTCTAATGCATGGCGCTTGGCGAAGGAACAGCCACTTCCTATGTTATACGTCTTAGATTTGTCGCAGCGCGGTGATCGAGAATCGAACTAGGGCGTCCCGGTCACGAAGCGAATGCCCTATCACTAGCCTACCGGTAGCCATCTTAGGACACATGTCCCATTCTTTGCGAAAGTCTGTATCTTTATAAGACTTAAAAAGGAACACCAACAAAGACAGCATTTAATTCAGTTTATTAGAATATACAGATGATTTGACATGAACTGTATAAACGGTTAAGGGGTATAAATGTTTGAGTGTATACAATCGCTAAATTAAACGTAGCACTTAACATGCTTCTTTATGTTAATTTGCCCAAGTATCTAACATGCCTTCAATGTAAATACAGTCACATTTTAACATGTCCATTATCATTTGTTTTTTTTTTAATTTGCTACTTTATTTAGACTCCAAATCTAATAACACTAGCTTGCCCCCCTTTAAATGTAAAAATGATGATCGTTTCGTCAGTGAGGAAATTCAGCTTCCGAGAGATTTTTATCTCATATTTGATCTAAATACGTAAATAATTAATGAGTTTGGAATTTAAAACAAATCCTATTGAAAGCTGAATTTTGAAAAAGAAGAAGGTATAGTTTCAACACAAATCTGGTCCTATATTTTCTTTTGAAATATGAAGTTTTTGTGAGAAATTAAAACTCTTGCTTTCTGAATTTTTCAAACTCCACGAAATAAGATCGTACAAATCGTTTTTCTTATATGACCTCCAAAATGCCAACTTTGATTTCTTGAACTTGTGCGTTTTCCTTAGAATGTTGAAGACATCAATTTTCTGTGGAATTTTCTTTCAGATGATATAAACATACATCGCTCACAAAGATCTTAAAAAATGTGACTTTTCAAAGATTTTTACATAACATATCCGAAAATTGAAGTGGGTGACGGCTGTGAACACTTTTCTGAAGAGAAAACCCTTAAATGAGTCATTTTGAGTCCTTTTCTATTTAAAACTTAGAAATGTAACAAATAAATGTCCTTATATTTCCGGAATAGTCCCCCTTTGTGCCAAATTCTTTCATGATTTATCACATTCATATACTCAAAACATTTAAAAAACAACAAATTTTAGGACATAATAAAGCCAAAACCGTACCTTCTTCTTTTGACCACTGAAAAGAAATTAATGTTTTGTGAAAAAGTATCACTATTCACTTAACATTCCTGGAAAATGTTCATGTTCTGTAATTTCAGTCATATTTTTAGTCTTATCGAAAGGTGTTAAATTCACTGCAGTGTCCTTTATGATTCCAGATGATTCATTTGTTATCATCTTTCCTTTCTCTGCAGATTTATACTTTATGTTAATTGTCACTTTCATCTCTCGAACTTCGGCGTATTCACCGTTCACTGAATCTGTTTCAGAAACCCAAGAAGCACACTTCTGCAAAGAGTCGTTCAGACGGGTAGTTATGGATTTGCTGTCCATGCTGTCTTTACTTGAGTATCTGTCCTTGTCTGAATTCATCTCTTTATTATTAGAAATCTTTGGTAATTTTCCGAATTTAAAGACTTCTGGTTTGGATGGCTTGTTTGTTTGCCGTAAAAAGTTGCTATGTTTTTCAGCTTCTACTGCTTTTTTCCCTGATATCGTGTTTATTTCCCTTGAACTTGGCTGTGATTGTCCGAAACCACTGTTATCAGAGAGTTCAGAGGTCTCGGTACTTGTGAATACTTTCTGAGTTGATGGTGTTGTTATCTCACTTGGATCGTTTGATTGTTGCACGGTAGTAATTGCAAATAATTCAGAACACTCAAGTTTTTGTGGTTTCCTTGCCTCTTGTAATTGTCTGTTCATGGGTGGAAGATGATGCGTCTTTTTAAAAATCTTTTTTCCCATGAGTCCATTTGTAGAGTTCACAAACTGAAGGTGCTTGTTAAGATCAAACATTCGGCGGTACCTTTTTTTAAATTCAATTTCATTGTGTATACTCCCAAAGACAGAAGTCTCGTCATCTGGGGCGTCTTTGCTGGAGGGAAATGATTTGGATAAAGGTGGACGACCATTGTTTGATCGTCTGCTACGAAACGTTTCACTATCCACTGAAAAATCTGAATCAGAACCGCGCACTGTAGAAGCCCTTGAAGTCTTTTTGTCATCTAAATCTTTAATTTTCAACCGTTTTTTCTGTAATTTCTTTCTTTTCACAATATTCGAATTGCTAAAACGTGGAACTCTTTGGGTTGACAACGAACTATAAAATCCACTTTGTACGGGTTTGTCTTTCATCCAATGATCAACTTGTTTTGCAATGTCTCTATTCCAATTTTCAAACTCTTGATGCATTCGGTGAGTTTTCCGATACATTTGAGACAAACTACCGTTTCTTGGAGTTTCCAATTCATCTGAGTTGTACGAAATTTGCCTACAAATAAAAATTAGAACTGTATTGATCATTAGTATTAATTACTTTTTTATTGTATTAACAAAATAGACCATCTTGATTGGATTCAATATCGTTCAGGAAATTGAACGATTGAGTATATGTGATCCCGTCAAATTTTGATAATATATCATATGAAGTTTAGATATTAAGTAATATCTAAACTTCATATGATATATAATCAAAATTAAAAAATAAACCCAATAATCTCAAGGGCTTGAATTCGTAACAAAAAGGTAACGTAATAAAAGGATGCTACGATATCGGCTACCATTACATGCTTTCCAACTTTTAGCCTTTCCAAGTCAAATCCAGAATCCGGGTAATCATTTTTAAAGGTAAAGGCTTATCAATCGGAAACACCATACAATCAAAGTGCCATGCACAAACAATCAAAATAAACACATTTCCTTTCATTTAGATTTGTCACAGAAAGGACTGATTGTCAACAATGCTTTGTCATTGTGAAATGTCATTTTGCAGTTTTCTTTTTTTAAAATATAGTCGCATAGTCTTCTTGTTTTGTAATAAAAATTATCTAATTTTCATGCTTGCTTAGTTATTTTAAACAAACTGCATTACATGTTCAATGCATTTCAAATATGATTTTATAAATTGTAATAACATGTATTTGCACATAATATACTTGAAGGTTGAAAGGGATTTTTTTCTCTTACATGTATTTACTCATTTATAGGGCGTTGCTATATTATATCAGAATGGATATAATATAATAACGTCATTTCTGTGAATGGAAACGCAGTCATATCGGACTTGTAATTCCTCCTTTTATTTTTGTCCCCAGCACCGGAAATGTTAAAACGCAATTATAAAGAAAGGCTAATTTTCTTCCTTATTCATTTTGTTTTGCTCACTTATCTTAGATTGATGATAAATAATTAATGTTTTCATAAACAGCCAACTGCATCCAATTAACAAATAAAAGAGGTGCGTTGTGCAAGTTTTTAAGTACCTTTAAGTATTGGGATGGCTATATAACTTCGCATTCGTATAAATTCAAATTTGTTTATCGGTCATAATTTCTAGAATGAATATAAAAGGACTACTTATAGTTTGCAAGCATAAGTAATGGAGTGACTAAACACTTTTTGTTAAGAGTGGTTCCTCTTTTCGAAGGTGGGAGTAGAATATTTCAATATCTTAAATAAAGGATGCACTGAGTGCATCTGATGACAAATTGTAGAATTGTTGAACAAAATCATGCGAAAGCTTACAGGACAAAAATGACGAAGCATCTTAGTTTTGATAATAACCTCTTTTTTATTTATAAGAAAAAAAATGGTTATTAAAATAAAGTAATTACGAATAAACCTTATATAAGAGAATTTTAATTACAGTAATTTTATTTGTTTAAAATTTCAACTGAGCAATTTTCGGTAGATACATATAGATACATACCATTTAATAAGCTATAGATCCAATTCGAAACATTTTGGCATATATTCTATCTTTAAAGGTACTTCCTATGCCTTGTGACTAAATATAACACCTTACTCTTAGCAGAATACACAATCTTTCACTATACAAGCTAACGCTACGAATTAACGGCCATTTTCAAGATTAAAGGCTACCCTTTTAGAAATGGTGTAACAGCTTAATTCACTTTGTTTACGACCTATTGGGGACCCTGTGATTGGAAATTATTGTGTACAGTCTCTGTGGAACTGGTTCCTGCTTTGCTTCCACCACAATCAATAAATGTCCTGTCATCAGTAATGTTCCTTAAATGGAAAATCATGCGCCACGACGGATATCTAAGACGGCTGCCTTACAAGTTAATTGGCAGAATCCTGCATTCAAACAAAGAACGTCAAGACGTAGTGGAAAAATAATACGTAGTAATTATGACCAGCAAATCTTAGCAAAGGCCTTTTATAAATTAATATAACGTTCAATGCTTCAAAGATGTAGGGGGAAAATGAAGTCGAAATCAAGAAGATGAGTTTATTATCACAAAGGGGTATTATTAAGTATATTGGACTAGTGTATTCAAGGTAAACTTTATGTACTCTTACAAAATATTTCAAGTTAATGCTTCATTTTAGGTTCTGTGGACCGTGTGATTTACATTAGAAAAGAGAAAATGTTCATATTTTGAATTAATCATGTCAATAAATACTTATCTACGATACAGTGTTCATCTGCTTTAAATTGTTCTTATTATTTTCATCATGTGTTACAATTTTTTCTTATTTTCAACATGTGTTTTATAATACAAAATATAAATGTTCTGAATAAATTTGATATTAAAAAAATGCATCTTACTTTCAATCATTTTTAAAATGCAATATTGACAAAGGGAGATTAAACAGAGTAAATGACTGAAATGATTTAACGTATTTGACTACTTCAAGATCAAAATGTGTTTATTGTGTTGGTTAAATATTATTTTTCATCCGTTTGCAGTATAAAATTTCGTATTTTATGCTTGGAGTAGATGAAACCAACAACCTGAAGTTTTCTGAAGGGATCTTTATTCACAGACTTTAACCTACTGTCAATATTATTTTCAGAAACTAATTGCATTATATTGATTATCGCCTTGTGATTTTTCTCCCTAATATGTCTATAATCCTGGGGGAAAAATTAAGATTTTATATGATAATATACTGATGTATTGATTTTGAAAACTCCTTTGATGAGTATGTAGATATGAACGGAGATAATGTATATTATTTGATCGTCAATATTAATTGCTAAGATTTTTTACTTTAAAAACTTGACAGATAATGTAAAAGAGTTTGCTGCTTCGTCGTATTAGGTGAAGGGAAGGGTGGTTGTCATCTTCAAATATTTTATCGGGTGCGCTTACGAAATTCACACTTATTATAGTTTTATCAGAATATGTTGGTAGATATGGTTTGCATTGAATTTGAAAGCCAAATGGTCATTCACAGTCCAGGCAAATGTAAGGATGTTAGGATACTTAAAAAAAGAGAAGAAAGTTACCCGCCAACGATCTAAAAATGAGCTAAAGCTGACCACTAATGTCGTAAATTTTGCATTTACCTTCCCTTAGTAAATTCAAAATTTACAACATGATATTTCTCAGAGCTCGGGAACATGCACGTAACATAGACAGAAATAGTAACATATACTTAGTAGACCATGCAAACAGGAATTAAACATGTATTATGTATTCCTTGTGATCTGCCTAGGCTACTGCCTAAGTCGTACATGTAGTTGAAACATAACAAAGATAAGGAATATTGAGTGAGAAATATGTAACACCCCATCCCTGATTAAATCAGGTTACGTATGACTACATACAGCGAATGTTCCATCACAGCATATGTTTTAGATTTCTATTCAATCTGGGGTTGTTGTTTTTTTTTAGAAACAGATATATTTTTCACATAGATGTTGATGGGAAAACAATACCAAACTATCGAATCAAATGCTATTCTTCAGAACATGTTACAGGCTTGGTTTTAAGCACGTTTCGATGGCCTTTACATCTGTTACTGTGATTTGACCGTAACTTACCCCAAACTAAGTGAATCAAAGTCAGGTATTCTATATTGCCACACAAAATCCTCTTCCAAGCCTATATCTGCCATTCTTGTAAACGAATGTCTTAATTCAAAAAACTTTAATGAAACATTAAAGCAATTCTTTCACCACTTGTTATTTCCTTCGATACAATGCAAAGGTGGTGTGCAGTGTTGACATTTCCTATCTACAAATAACATTCCTGATGGTAGAAGTCATTATTTCAACGGGTGCCAAAATCAACCTGGGGCAAGAAACAGTTGTGCAAACTCATTATTAAGAGTCCAGCGAGGGGACCTTTGTCGCCACACGAATTAAGCATCCATGTAACCCCCAGACATAGATCAAAACGAATAACACAAAAGCTCGGATTGAATTTAAAATACAATCTGGGTAGCTCAGTTTCGTTATAATTTATTTCAAACGTCTTTGGGATCAAAATCCTATATCTTCATTATCGATGAATTTACATGCCCTGTTGATTTAATTAATGGATTGTATTCAGTTTTCGACATGTTATTGATAAGTATTTAGGCTAATGTTTCAACGCTATGTATTGGGCTTGCGACCAAACTTTGTTGATATGTGTACCCCTAATAGTGCTGTGTTCCTTGTTGAAAGAGGATTTAAATGTATTTAGTTGTATAGTAAACATGGATTGGTGTAGATTAAGTATGGTGTTTCGAATATTTGATTGTCTGTATTAACCTATGTAGACAATTACTGCACTGATAGGATTGAAACGTTTTGGAAGACAGAGATCTGCGATATCATTGAAAGAGAACCGACTTCTTTGACGAAGACAGATCAACCATTATATATAGTGAAGTAACTAAATAAACGTTATTTTTACCTGAGATTTTCTTTATGCTATCTAGAAGTCATCATTTATTCTCAATTAATAGCTTAAGGTTTGGGTTACCTCTGAAGGTGTAAAGGCAAGATCTGGATTTTCTCTTCTATAAACGTTTAGTGACCTTGTCAGGATACACACATTGGAATCAACAAAAGATTATGTCAGACGTTTTTGATACGAATCGGGTTATTAGAAAGGAACACGGTATAATCCTCAAAATGTTATATCAAAAGTAAAGCTTTTCAGAAGACGAAAAAAAAAATTGTTTTGACACATTATTTTCAATCTCGATTTTAAATGAGTTTGCATTATTATGATGATTATTTATTTATTAAAAATATTATATCATTTTGAATGATTATGCATAGAAATTACATAAAATTTTTCCAAACTGATGATACAAACTATTTTCCTGGAGTTCTCTAAAACGTTTTGTTCATGTTCATTTGCAATTGGTGGAGGAATTGTCTTTTTGTTACAATTTGATTCCTGTGTGAAAGCAAACGATCTTGAAAGTCACTTGCTTTGATTATCATCCAATAGAGTTTGTTTTAATCTTCAAAGCAAATTATTTTTTTTCGGCTCCTTCTGGAAGATATATATATATATATAGAGAGAGAGAGAGAGAGAGAGAATTTTAAAAATTGCATTAAAGATGACATAATGATTTTTTTTTTTACTTTAGTATTTTCCATAAGTAAAAGCTTGCAGTGATTATGTGGTCAATGCAAACCCGTTTAAACTAACATTTAAGATAATTGTTATAGTTTAACTTCAGCAATACAATTGGGTTTTATTAAAAAGACAGGTAGATTGCTCTGATTTGTAATTGCAAAAGAACTGAACAATATTTTCATGACATACAACTTATTAAATGCGAAACTTACTTAATTTTTATGGGTAACGTGTTTGAAATATTTTTGTAGAACGTTTTCTCCATCAACATTCCCGAGCTTGCCTTTGGTGTTGAAGATTTCCCAGACGTGTTTGGTTTAGAATCCACTTCCTGTATTAGATGAAATGGAGGCACGAATGAATACCCCATAACAGCCGGTGATGTGCCGATTATGGGGTTAGAGTAGACACTGATTGAGGTACCAGATCTAGGAGCCTCTACTTCCGTCATCAGATGGAGGGAAGGGACGAAAGCGTATCCATGTGCGGAGGACATAGAAGGAGTTGCTATTCCTCCTCCATCTAACTCCGCACTAGAAGACGTATCCATAATCAATATTCTGTAATGAGTTAACTTTCATCAAAATTTAAGCATATTTGCTTTTTTGTAATTTTTGTATACAATGCATTAACTTGATAATGATGTTCAGCAATAGATTTTCCACTCTGTGTTCTTTTTTACATTTGCCGTTGTAACAATTATTCAAATTTCGATAAAACGGTGTAATATTTTTCTTTGATCACACGAATAACATGTGTGGCAGTGAAAATTTTAAATAAACTTAATGTTATTATCAATTTGAAAGGAATATTTTTGTCATAAATGAAATTAATTTCCAAAGTTGTAGAACATTCAAATAAAGTCCTTATTCGTAAAAGATCACGACAAGTTTATTGATCAATATGTACGTCGTAATTTTCTTTGAAGACGTGTACGAAAAGTCAATTTATAATCAAAAATTCTATAAGCATTTGAATATGAAAAATATGAGCTTTACCTGCCTGTCTCCTTTATTAGTTCCCAGACAACAATATTGAAACTCTAGTCCTTACCCCTGGGTGGTTTAACAACTTTAACATTGTGATTCGAAAGTGATTATTTTAAATAGACTTCCTAAAGCATTGTAATGTTGCCAATGAATCTTAAATTATTTTATTGTTTTACAGGCGAGAAAACAACGCCCGAAAAGAGTAAGAACTCAACTAAAATATTACAGGTCGATTCAAAAACGTTTTGATTTTTAAATTCTAATTCATAATAGCACTTAACTTTATTTTTTTATTTCGAAGATGAAGAAAAATTGTGACAATGATACTGATATGGATTTGAGTTTATTTTGGCAAATAATTTTAAAATAGCAAATATACAGTGGATAATTAAGGTAAATGATAATTTGATAATGATAATTTAATGATAAATGTATCCAAAAATGCTCCAAAAAATGTGTACTTTGACAATATATATTAAATTCTCCTACAACTTTATGCTTAAGATTTTGAACCACTGAATGTAGACTTGCGGTTACAAATAATTACTAGTTATAAATCTTTCATAAATCTTATCTTTGCATTTATCACAATAATAAACACTCTTTTATTGCTAAAAATTTTAACCCACCCTGTAATGGCAAACGTCCACCTTTTAAATGATTAGTCATAAATCAGATTATATTCATTTATTCCATACGAATTACGGGTCCTTTATCTCTTATTTATTTTTATAATTTAAGGGAAAGCGTTTATAAAAACCCTTGACAAGATTTTAAATATTTGTGATGTTCTTAAAAGGTGTGTGAAAGCACACAAAAACGCATTGTCTAATGATTTAGCCTGACAAAATTTTAAGTATCATCAAAGCTTGTCCTTTCGAAAGGTTTTAAGGAGCTTCAGGTAAAATGTTTACGTTTGAAAACTCAGGTAAAAGATTTCCTTGCGAGGTTCGTTTTTTCATTATCTATACTTTAAATATATATATAAAGAAAAGCTTTAAAATAAAAAGAAATAATTCAAAGTATTTTTTAATTAATGGCTTTCATTAAGTTTCGATTTTCATACTGTGACACCAGTGAACTAAAGGTCAACGATCCTGCAAAGTACCGAGGGTCAGTATTAAAAGAAATCAGTATGTCGTTGGTAACATTTCTTTCTCTGAATTGCCAGAATAGTATGGTGGTTTTGTTTTCAAACATACATAACACAAACAAAATATTTTGATTGATGTATATTTTTGGACTAATTTTGAATAGAAGTAACATACTAATGAATAATGAATCTCTAAAATATAAAGAAATCGTAATTTTTCTTTGGTGCTGAAATCTGTGACTTTGTTTCGATTTTTATGTAAATCTAACGAAAATGGCAAACATCTTTTAACATTTTTACAAAAGAAATATTCAGATTACCTATATGAACGTATCTCTGCGAAATATATTGCTGATTTCTGGGAGAGAAAAAAATCTGTTCATGTTATTTATCCTTTAAAACAAGCGGAAATAGACTTTTCAGTTATAAAATGCATTTTATTATAATGACCATTTAAATATCATTTCTGAGAGGAAAAACATAAATATTGCACTCACCCAAACATGGTTGAAGAAATATCCAGTGAATATCTTCTAACTGTTAATGGAATACATACATCCATTAGATATGTAATTTTTTTCTAAAAAATATTTTTTTTTTTTAGGATTCTAGTTTTATGATCATGTTACAATCACAAAAAACCATAGCAAACGTGACTCCACTTTTCTCTTTTCTTTATTTACTGAACATAACTGTACATGTCAGAGAATTCTCTTTTAACTATCTTTATAGTTTTTCTGTCACCTCAAACTGTCAAAACAAGGATTCATAAAAGAAGAAAAGCTTAGTTCTCTTGATTGATAATACAAGGCAAACATTACAATGTCTATTTGTCTTGTACATATCAAATTCATGGTTCTTTCTCAGAATAAATACTTTTTAAAACCTCTAGTATACCCCCTTAAGCTTTGAAAAAAGAGAAGAAATGAACGAGATTAACGTTCTTTCTCTAATTGACACATCCGAGAAACTGTTTAAACTGTTTGCATTGTACTTTTCAGAAAACTGTGCGATAGGGAAAGGTTCGGTTTAAATGTACTGATAATCCATTTGCGATTTTATCAATATTTAATAAAGACGTTTGCCAAATTTTCATATTATTAATGTCTCTTGCAATATGTTATTGAAAATATTTGTTTATTCTCGTAATAATACAAAGCGTCTGGTCTAAGGAAATTGAAGGAAGGCTTTATGTGTATACAACTGCATGTATATTTTATCTGAATATCTACCACACATGAGTTTCACAAGGTCTTATATACAATTACCAGATGCAAATTTTGCTGCCTTGCTGATAAAAAATGAATAGTGATCAATTCCATTAATCCTGTAAACAATGCAACACGTTAACGCGGCCAAAACACGGACCCCTTGAAATACCAGTGGTGCCTAGGGTTTATGTCGACCGGCCTCACCAGACTTGAACCCTCTATTGATAGGTAAATGGAGTAATCTATAGTCAAAATTAAAATAATGGCTTGCTAATAGGTATGAATAATGTCAGTCAAAATTTGACCCACAGATACAATTCAGGTAGTACATGTATTTGCAAATAAGATTATAAAAACTGTAACAACCATAGAATTTGCGAAATGCTGACTTTCAACGAGATTGTTGATTTCTCTGTAACATGAACTTAGTTGCCAATAGCGAACTATGTTTAAATATTTATCGTACACAGAATATTATTTTGCGTATTGCATCAGTTGGGTGACATTAATACCATATGTTCTTGATGTTACTACATAAATAGGGGAAGTTGACGATGGAAAAGCTTAAGTTGTTATATTGTCATTAAATCCTATAGTCAGAAGAAAACCTACAAATATTGAACAGATGAGATAGATTCTTTGGTTTTATATCGAGTTCACTTGGAATATCGAGTCGACATATGAATGACAATAACTTTACTCTGAATTGATGAAATGACGTCGGCCTCAGAAAAATGTTTTCTTTTTATTCTCCTTCAATTTTTGAATAAATTAATATATAACAGTAGATCGGATAATAATCAGTATTCATATCGTATGAAAGATAGGTGATATATTCTTTTTCTATTTTCTGTTTCTTGCAATATAATTTCATTGGTAGTATAAACTTTGCTTAAGCGGTGTCTTTCTAGACCAACGTCACATCTACCTGGTAAGAAGTGATGTAAGCCAATTTATCCCGTCGGGTTTGTATTAGCATTTTAAAAAGTCGAGTAAAATATCAGAGTTTGGTCGATCCATGGAGAGTCTTTGATCTCAAATAGATAAGAAAACTGTATTGCATATCACAAAAAAGTAGAATACTCAATACTTAATTCGGTGATTGTAATCGTATTACACAAAGCATGAAAACGTTAAAATTGATTTCTTGAATGATTTTAAAATTATTAATATTCTCTTCGCTTTAAGGTTTGATAAAACTACACAAAGGAAATAATTTGCATAGAATGGGTTATCTCGCTTTCAAAATAAATCCAAAACAATCGATATTTGATATGTAACGCAAAATCTTATTTTTTTTTTTTTTTAAAATAAAGCATACCTTCTTTTTAGTCACATAACACTTTTCCCTTAACGAAGTTAGCAAATCCTACACTTGTCTTAAGTAGGAGCATTGTTGGGCAAATCAAGAGCTAAGAATATAATAATAATTATTAGTTAATTTTGTCTTATCAATCACATAATTAATGTGATGAATTATTTTGTACGACCTTGAGACCAAGACTCTACATTACAAATATTGTCAAATTGCCACTTTAAATCGTTAATAAAAGTATCAAGGCAATCATCAAAATCATGAAGGATCTAAATAACTGAGTATGTACTTTTGAATTGTGTTAACTAGACCATTTATTTAACACTTTGATCAGATATATATCCAAAACAAACCTTGGCAGTTATACACAAAAGTGGGTTGAAATATATGTAATGAAAAATTTATATGTATGTTTATGTGTGAATACGCGTAATAATTTATGGTCTTCAATTTCTCTTTGTTTTAATATGTTAATTTTCAAAATTTTTTGAGAACTTTTGTTTGTATTTATTTAAATGCTTGTGTTTACTTTCATTATACCTAAAAAGAAACTTCAAGATGTGTAGATAACCTCGTATTGAAATAGCGACTAGGTATGTCAATACTATAAAGCGCCGTAAAGCATTTTACACTTCCAAATTCCAATGAACTTTTGGAAAATTTGAAATCAATGAATTTTACCAAAATCAATAACATAAAAACTTTCGATTTTTCAACTCTGTGTACAACCATTCCCCACGATAAATTAAAGTCCAGGCTTTTTAACATCACTGACAGCTGCTTTTTCAATGAAAATGGAACTCGTAAATTTACTTACCTTGCCATTGGTCATTTGCAAAATTATTTTGTTAAAAACATTCTGATTGTACACACAAGTACTCTGAAGTTGATATTAAAGAGGTGTTTGAGTTTCTGATTGACAATATGTACATGTATGTGGTTCTTGGAGACCAGGTCTTCCAACAATCTGTTGGAATTCCCATGGGTACCAATTGCGCGCCGTTATTAGCAGACCATAAGAAGCAGAATTTATTCAAAATCTTATACATGAGAAAAAGAATCTCTTGGTGTGGCCTTAAACTCGACATTTAGATATTGACGACGTATTATCAATAAACAATAGTTATTTCCATTCATATGTCGACACGATAAATCCCAGTGAGCCTGAAATAAAAGGTACCACAGAGTCTGACACATTTGTTTCATATTTGGATATTTTACTAGAGAAAGACGTTAATGGTAATCTAACAAAAAAACTTCATGATAACTTAAACGTTTCAATCGCCAACTTCCCTAACTTATGCAGCAATATACCCTAATCACCTGCATATGGGGTGTATATCTCTCAGTTGATTCGATATGCAAGAGCATGCTCTACGTATGAACAATTTCTAAAACGAGTTATTGACAAACAAGAATATCAACAGTCTCGTTTAAAGTCATCATTTCGTAAGTTCAATGGTCGATACGATGACCTTCTCAGCAAATACAATCTATCATTACGTCATATGCTGACTGACGTTTTTCATACTAATTATTAGGCCATTATTTACACATTGATTTGTCGACGGATTTTCCGTTACTGCCCGATCGTGACAAGGAGCACACGGCGGGTGTGATTGGTGGGTAGGGGATGCTCATTCCTCCCTGGCACCTGATCCCACTTCTGATGTTTTTGGAGGTCCATGTTTGCTATGCTCCCGATTTGTTTTGTTTTAATGGACTTTGAGCTTGAATACTGTTCGTTATCTCCACATTTCATTCCATGCAATGATATATTTTATTCTTCGTTATGTAGGGACAAAGACACTCTTGCATCGTCGTTTTGTTCATAATTTTAAATTTCTCTATTCATATTAAAGATAACGCCAGTTGAATAAATTTAACTAACATGGAAATTCTCAATATTTAATAACAACGGCATTCTTTACAACCTACACGAAACATCAAACACTTGTTTGTAAGCATGGGCTTGAGATCTGTTATTGTTAATGAAACGCACTGGAAATATGTAAGTTATGAAATTCAGCCAACACTTCGAAGAGTATTCACTTCAATTTGTGCCTATGTGCCCCATTAATTTTTATTAATCAATATATGGGTTAGGTGTTGCACAGTATCAAAGGAGCCCTCCTAAAGAGCAAAAAGAGTAGTCACATTTCGAGATTTACCACTTATTTACGTTCCATGTAAATACCCACGATTTTAGTTAGCATGTGATCACGACGAGCACATTTTAATACCTAAATATATCACTCAAAAAGTAAATATTAACGACAATAGAATAAAAATTGGCTTTTTGTTTGTCCTCTATACTGCAATGCAATCTAATTGCATTATCATTCTATACAATATACTTCATCGATACCATTTTTCATTAAAAAAGGTGATTCCTGTTGAAATTTAAATTGTCATTTTTCCTTGTGACGTCAAATACTATGTAATATTCATTGCCGAAGTACGGCGTACGAAATCATATTTTCTTTCCTTCAAAAATCAAATATCCCATAGATTTTATATTTTAAACGTTGATAAGTATTATACTTAAATTGCCACTATATAGACAGAGTTACTGTTGATTCCCTACAATATAACCTGTTTCATGCACTTGTTGTATTTTTAACTAGACTGGTTCCTGTGGTTATTTTACAAATAGAACTTAAAATATATAAGAAAGATACACTTTCTTACTTTTTGTGTTTAATTAATTATATACATGTAACTACAGAGTAAATGAGAAAGAGTTTCTCGACTTGAGTATACATGTATGTAAAATATAATTATGTTCTAGTTTTGTGATCAGCTACGATCATAGATGATATTAGACAAAGTATCCTACAAATCATTCATTTCATTTTATTTATTATTGAAAGATCTAATTTGTCGAAAATTATTTTGAGAAAAGCTTAATTCCTTGCAAAACTTATGTTTGAAAGAAGTTTGGGATTTTTTTTTATTTTGATGTATACATTTCAGTGCACCTTCTTCCGTAGTAGCTTGAATACATAACAATTAAGCTGTTCGTTTTCTGATTATCTCCTTTAAAAGAAATTTTAACTTTTTTTAATATGCTAGTATATGAAAATATATACTTTTTCTTTGGCATTACTAGTGATATTCCGAATTATCTACTCGTACATATATTTGAGTAGAAACACCTTTAATATATAAATCAAAGATTAAAATGTGGATGATTAAATACTGAACAAGAAATATTGCTTCATTCTGAAAAGAATTTACCTAGCTGAAACAAATATATAATTCAAACTTTAACTGAAATTGAAAATAATCATATAATTCCATGGTTTATCAAAAATTGAATACTAAATACTTAATATAAAAATACATGTAACAATATATAAAATGTATTTCAAATAAAACGTATAAAGGCAAAACTAAAAAAAACTGTTGAAGTTGAAATTACTCATCACTTACATATGTCACTTTGATACAAATGATGTACAAAACAAATTCACTTTAACATCCAAATTGATACATACTTGGTTTTTTAGTACCTCCATTATCAATGTATCAACTGGAGAGAAGTTGTTTAAAGCATTGTATATTGTCAAACACAGATGAACACATAAGGCAAGATTGAGCTCTAGGCAAATAAATCCAACTCCTTCAGGGGGGCTGAGAAGTCAATATCTTCAGCTTGAGAATGTTTACACGAACTTTTCATTCATACCTCACTTCTGAGCTATTGTCAACGTAAGAAGGAGTCGTTCAAGCACATGGAATGGATTACTGAAAACGCATTGTTTATCCACTTAGAAAAAAAAGGTAAATCTGCAATCCATACCATTCAAAATAATTGAAATCTTAAGTATCCTGATTGCTATCTGTCACAAAGAACGCACCTTTCTCTCCAATAGGTTTTCTCAGATGTGTCTTTTCGTCTATGCCCTCACAGCTGTTTTGTTTATCTCCTCCATTCTCTCTGAATGAATGTGATTTGATAGCATATTGTGTCACCGTTTTACCTGAGTAAGAAGTAAAGCTTTCCATTTGTGGGCTCTCAATTTTTAAACTCTTCAAATAATCATCAATCGGAGTCACCCCCTGATCCTCGTCAAAATATTCATCACCTTCCATTTCACCCGTATTGTCTGTGAGTATTTTCTTTTCCATCTTCATTTGATCCCCGCTACCTGGGGTGACAGTGGCGACATTAGAGTCGTTCTTATCACTGGAGGCCAAAGTTTGATCTATAAAGTCCATCGCTTGCTGGGCAGCATTGATTGTATCGGCGATATCTCGCATTGATTCCTGGTACAGATTACTGTATCCAGTGTGTAAGCCTTTAGAAGACCCATGCTGGACCTTCCTACCAGCGGAAGAATTCCTGCTTAATCCAGATTCCCTGCTTCCTGAAAAAGAATTTTCTTCAATAACATCACAGTTAATGTCTTGTCTTGACCAACGCGGAACCATTATTTCCTCAGATGATATGTTGCTCAGTTCTCTTATGACGTCATCACCCCCTGTTTTGTAAGCTATTCGAATTGACATACGAACATCCGCCGGTGTTTCACTTGCTGCTTTAGTTTTTGTGGATCGAGTAAGATTACTTTCTTCTCTTTCAGTTATATCTGTGAGATTGCAAACCTGTGGAAAATTTCTGTTATTTTGTTTTAGTATAGGTTGCACGCCCGCATTGTGCCTTTGTAAGGCGGAAATAGATAATGGTAAAACGTTATCAGTTTCCTCTAAGTGTTTCAAATCGTCTGAAACAGTATTAAACTTTTGGCTACTTGACTTTGTACTGTTAGGACGAGAATTTGATACTGTCATATGACTACTTTCGTCATCGTAGTCCTCAAAATCATTTTCATTATCCCCTAAATTAAGCCGAGGAACATTTGGGTTTGAAACCCCTTTCTCCGTTAAATCTGAACCCTCGTCTTCATCATCGGCATCCGAATAAGAGTAATCTGAAAGATGAAAGTGGGGAGTTTGGTAATCTGTGAGTTCGGATATCCGACTCTGTGGAGGGGCAACAATGTGCAGGGAGGATTTCCTCGTGTACTTCTGAAGAGACTGATTCTGCATTGACCGGATGTTCATCATTTCTATGGAGTACTCTTCTGTAGGCACGTGGGAGCCTTTCAGTTTCGGACGTGTATTATATTTCTGCAGCCGCTTCACACGTTTGTTATTTACAAGAGAGGAATGAACAAAATGCACGTTACGGTTGGCATCAAACATCTTTTGATATCTCTTTTGAAAGTCGTTCAAATCTTTTAATGTTTCTTCCTCAAGATTCTGTTGCATTCTAACTGGAAAACCATTTATCAATGATACGTCACTGCGCGTGCTTTGATCCCCCAGCTGACTGTAAACAAAATCAAATTCAGAATCGTAACCGGAAGTTCGTGTATCGGTATCCGTAGTTATTGTTTTGATTTCGGTGAGGTCTTTTTCATCATGTTTCACTGTTCTACGTCCTCTGAACTGCTTATGGCACTTTGAGCAGTTACGTTTTGTGTGTTTACATAACGAATTAATGGGCATTGCTTGGAATAAATGGTTAGTTGCATTGCATTCATCGTATTTGGTACCCATCCCCAACTGGTAGCTGCGGCTCCGCCAGGTATATGACCCATTCTTATGGACATTCATGATTGCATTCAGATCGGAGTCTGTATGCTCTTTAACCATTTTCCTGTGCAATGAAAGAATATTTAATATCCTTATCAGACATATACAATACATCCCTGTACTTTAAATGCCTCCTGTTTAATTTTTTTTAAAGAGTTTACATGTAGTGCTATTCTGTGAATGCATCACTTTCTTTCTTTTATTGCTTAATTAGTAATAGTATGTTCAAAAAACTTTTTTCGCTTGCAAGCATGTGCAATGCGCAAGAAATCACTTTTTCCGTCTGTACTTTTACAAAATTATCATCAGATGGAATGTGTTTCTTGAAACACTTTTTAAATAGTTTCATGCTTAAAACATAAAACAAAGAAAATCTGGTACAAACTTTATTTTGATGGGCAGGTTGTCAAGACTACGGCTCACAGCTTTATTTGTACGTTCCCGCTCCTTCTGTAGTTTCATAATGTACCTCTCGGACACTTCCTGACTGTTCAGTCCTTGCAAGAGATCCTGTTTAGCAGACAATCCTATTCGGGCAGGAGGGACTCGGAGGGAGGCGGCAGTGGGAATGGTCCCTCCCTTACACAGGTCCTGCCAGGCAGAAGACTCTTCTTTTGTAACAACGTCTTCTCGGCTGTAAAGTAAACAAAGTATCTTGAAGTTATTTCAGTTCAAAGTAATTTTGAAGCACCTGTCCCAGATTTTGATAGATTGTCTTGAATATATTAATCTCTTACATAAAATAGAATTTCAATTTTGCCAACAAAAACCAAGGACATATCGGAATTGGCTCTTATTTTAATAAAAAGTGATTTTTTTGTGAAGGTGCTTCATAAAATAATTGAAAATCCTGAATCGCAAAAAAAATTCTGACAGAGACCATTTATAACTTACTGAAAGTAAGACTGTAGCTTAAGGACATTGGCAAGGTTCCTGGTTATTGTATAGAATTTTTCAAGAACTTTTGAGTAGGTTTAAATGTACTAAATAGGCTATATTCTGGATCGTTTTACCTACTAATCCAGCATTCTTTTTTAGATTTTGTTAAATTAGTGTTTTTACAATTCTTAATGCATTTCCTATGTAAAATGTTGATAAAAGGGACCTACATAAATTTTCACCATAATATTTCTTCAAAACCCATTTATTTCATACAGTTTTTGTATTGTATACATTATTGTAACTTCATTTCCTATGACTTCTAGATATTTTGGTTGAAAATGTATATATAGAAAAAAGACATGGATATACCGGCACCGATCATCATTTTTGAGTTGCGTCCCTTAACAGCTAAAATTGGTCAAGTGACTGGTTGATTGTTTTTATCATGTAATTGACTGAATTGATTGAAATACATTGTCATAAAAATATTGACATGGATTTATTTTTAACTTTTATTCGTAATTACTAAATGCTGATTCCTTCACACGACCAAAGAACTGTTCTCAGTCGGCATGGTCGACCTACCTTTCAGCATATGTCACATCTTTGCCCTTCCCAGCATACTGAGCATAACTATGGTAAATGACGACCTGTTTGCTCTTTGTCCCTGAATACAATGTACAACAAAGCCATTACTACTTTTCTTTCTTGCTGTATAGAAGATTCTACCCGTTGAAGGAAGTACACGTGCTTTTGTTTACCTCTATAACATACGCTTTACTGGTTTTCACCGCTTAGAGAATTCTACACGGGAGATCACTCTCAATCACTATTTTACAAGTGAAAAAACCCATGTATTAAACCTTTTTTCTCCGGAAAGCCCTGACTTGCCAATGTCCTTAAGAAAGAAAGTAGAGTAGATAATTTAATCACAAATGGTCGTTCTCGTACGTAATGTCTACTGTTAGAAACGTGATGTTTGCCTTCGATTCTAGCAGAATCAGGATCATGAAAATCCTTTGTCAGTGCAGTAAATGGAAGAAAGTGTTATTGTTGGGATAAAAAAGCCTCCATTCAAAATTGAAACATAAATGGATTTTTGATCTTTCAAACTTATTCAAAAGATAAAGCTTTAAAAGGTTTCGTAAAGTGCATTGAAAACTTTTCTTTAAGAAAATTTTATGATTATCGAAAATCTGAAACTTTGTTAAGACTCTTTAATCTTCTAAGCCATTAGATAATGCTTCTCGTTACGAAGGCAATGCCAGTAGCAGTACATACCCTAACCAACACAGACTCCTGAGACAAACTCTACCACGATTCTTTTGATCCATTTTCTTTGTTTGATCCACAATTCATTGCCATATTGCATACCACAAAAAGGTTTCTATGCTATTAATTTAAAGCTGTTAAACACATTGACATCCTGTCTCTAAAGTTGCTTCAGAACAGTCAAGAATGAGAGCTTTATGACTGAGAGCAGCCTGTTTTGATCCTACGTCTTTCCAGGTCTAAATTAGTTTTCTTGAGTATATTAATGAGAAATTTATGCAATTTTCTTGTAAACATTTTCATTGAAATTAATAAACATGGCTTAGCGAAAGATCGATTGCAAAAGAAATCCCTTCAACTTTATGCGGAAAAGGCCCGCTTACAAATATTGGTGTACTCATTTATTCTGACATTGCCGATAATTCCCATCACGCCCCATAGTCCATTTAGCTGTTAAATACCTTAACTGTATAGTTGCTTCTACCGCGAAAGTCGCGTCATCACTACGTTACAATGTTCTGCATTCTTATGTATTATATAAAATTTTAAAAACCCAAATAAAATCCATGTTTTAGAGAAATATATTTGAAAAAAATCTTTAGCGATAAGAGGAAAATGACACAGTCCTTTTTAAGATTTTATGGATATATATAATTTAATTAGATGGGTTTTTTTTTATTCATCAATACACTTGACAGCAGCTAAATTGCTGACTTGTCATTTTGGAAGCATTATTGCCTTATTTTGACGCAGACAGACTGTAGATAAATATCATATTTAACATTAAGATTTTATCTGTTTATTTAAAAAGGAAGACGAGCCACTGACACATACATGGAATTATAGAACTCAAAAGTATATATCAATTCATCAATGGAATTATAATTTGATATATTTAAAAGAAATTCCTTTAGAGTACATAATCATCCCTATAAATGTTTTTGCTTTTGTTTTCGGAAGAAAGTTCAAAATTCGATCCATGTATATCATGTATATCTAATTGGCGCAATCCTCGTGCCCTAACTCTGTAAAATTTAAAGACCACCTGAGACATTGTGTACTGAGATCTGAACCCTGACGTGTACATCTATCAAATGAGGACAATGGGGGGTTAAATGGCCCGCTTACATTGAATAATATACCCCCTGTTATCTGGTTTATGAAGTGCATTATAACTGACCTTTACTCCGAGATCAAATAAAAGAATATCGTTTGATATATTTTCCATTCGTGTGCCGCACTTAATTAAAAGGAAGCGATATAAGTAACCAATTAATTTAGAATTTTTTTTATATTCCTGAGGATTGGTCATTAATTTTTCTTACAATGGCCTTGTGCATTTGGTAATTTGTCAAAAACGTCGTTTAAAGCATAACAAAGTATTTACTGGTTTTATTTCACCTTTTCCTTTCACTTTAAATGCCTTCGTCATTATTTTCATTGTGTACGTGTTGATTCAATAATACACTATTCGTTCCAAATATTAATCTTTTAATTTCGTTAACCATGTTTATTCTAAAGGGAAACAAGTATACTGTTTAAAAAATGATCTAAAAGTGTAACACTCAGGCATACAGTGTATGTATTCTTATTTAATCTTTTTTTTCTTCAAATATGTACCCAAAAGTAAAATAGTGTAAACTAACTACAGACTACAACATGTAACTTATCAATTTAAAATTACACGTATTGAAACATCTATTTCATACATAATACAGTTAACATGACAATTATTAATAATAGGAACCTCAGCATTTCAAACAAAGTAGTCCGTCACGTAATGTGCGCAGTTCGGTTCCGATTATTCAGCGAAAACCATGAAAATATGAGGTTAATGGTTCGATTTGCTAGATGCCTTGGATTGAACCACAGCTTACCAAAACAATGCTATGATTGAAACTATTTTGGCACACCTTAAGTAATGTAAATAATTTAATTTGCCAAACAAGGTTTGGTTCTCTAAATAGAGCCTACTGGATACTATTCGCCTTGATGGTGAATGTAACCGCAGAAGATTTTTTCTTCAAACTTATAAATTAGAAAACAAATTATACAATGTCTTTTTATTTTACTAGCTTTCATTTTGAATGATAAGCGAAGGTAACGAACAATAATTATGCTAATAGTTCAATGAAACAATACAAATTGTGAGCAGCACAAATACGGACCTCTGAAAACATCAGAGGTGGGGTCAGGTGCCATGGAGGAGTAAGCATTCCCTGTCGACTTTCATCGTGATGGAGTAAACGAAGAAATCCGTATTCAAGTTCAGTATGAAAACAATGGTATAATAACTTGTATGACATTGGGAAAATATGTTGATTCTTAGCGGTTGTATTCTATTTATACAGTACCAAAACGCTGCAAGAAAAGATAAGGTATCCTATAAGGCTTATTCTTGCAAATCTTCTCATGAACAACCATTTTCTGTTACTCAGAGAAAATTTTCTCTATGCACAGTGTTATATGAATGAATAATATTTTTCAAGTTATCCGTAAAAGTTTAGGTCAATATTACATTTGCTATACTAGTACTTAAAAAAATTCAACAGCATTAACTTTTTTTTTATTTATCCCAATATTTTTGTATAAATGCATGCTTAAGACCCTATGTTTTCATGAAGAGAAATAAATTATTATAAATATTTGTATTCCAGAGGATATAAAATCAACATGAAAGCGGATATTTGTATAACTATTTAAGCAATAAAGTACAATGTTCTTCCTACAAAAACCCTCTTTGCACCTAATATAACAAGTTCACGTTATCGATATATGACATTTAATCAACATTTTTTTATTATTTTTCTTTTAGAAATACTTGAATACCACAACACATTTCTAAGTCTTGAATGGAATTAATTATGTTCCGAACCTAATATATTTGAAAACTTGTTGCAACACAGGAAAGTTTCAAAAAGAAGGAAAATATTTTTACAGGCAATGGTAAACAATGAACCAATTTATCAGTGCCACATTACAATTTCAAAAGTAATTGAATGTGTCATCTTTAGAAACAAACTGTGTCCAATTATAGAGGGGGGAAAATTGAAGATAGGTTTCAAGGTTAAGGTGTTAGAAACTTACAAAAAATTTCAACATTGCTTTAATATAAGATGTAATGCAGAGTACATTTTATTTATTAAATTAATTAATCTAAAATAGATTTAACAGCATCCATTTTAATTATTTATGAAATTTTTAATTATATATATCTCCAGTGTGTATTTAAAAGTCTTAATTAATTTTTGATTAGTACCTCTACATTTTTTTTTTTATATATGAAATTATATACCATGGGGAAAAGCCTTCCATGTGCAATGTTTTAGCTTTATATATGAAAAGCTGCTAAAAGCTATCAGAATATTATTTAACAATAAAAGCATCATGGCATGAATATATATATGGTGGCGGAAAAACATTGTATGTAAATTAGTATACTTGCAAATATGCGATAACCGTATGTTACAGTCATTATTGAATCAATACGGCACCACAAATACTAATATATATACTATTACATAGAAGCATACTTACACACTACAACACAGACAAAGGGTGTTAATGACATGTTTATATCGCTGCTCAGACATTTCACTCAAGGATACACTTAACAGATAACCATCATCACTCTAAATTATTGTACTCCAATACATGATATTCAATGTTTAACAAAAAACTTGATCAGTAAATCCCTTGGTGTTTTCGGTACAGGGTTTCACACCTAATCTCATATTCTTAAACCATGTAAAATACGTGGAGCCATATATCGCCATTGTTTAAATCAAAGACTTCTTTAATAAGTCTTTACATTTCAAAGATATTAAATTTATTTGAGCTGGTCTGCCTCGAAACTTGATCGATGTGTAATTTG